ACTACCCCAACAATAACTACCCAAACCACTTAAATTATCAACAATATTAAACATTACGGGAAACACTTTTCTGCTACGTTTTGGAAATAAAATCTCACATATCCCTACCAGTATGTAAAGGCTACAAAAATGAGAACAAGGTATCACTTTCTTGTGTTTTCGCATTAATAATTTGTATATCAAATTCAAATCTTTTGTTCCTTTACCTATGTATTTCACACATTTACTACTTCCCATTTCCTCCTTTAAGTTAATATTTTCACCATTTGTACTCAATCCCAATCCTAAATAAAAATCAATTTCATTTAACATTTTTTCCAACTAAAAAGGCACTACTCGAATCGTCCTACTTAACCAATAACTCACTCAATATATTCCTACCTAGTTTAACATTAACACCCAAATCTAAAAACCACGCAAATGGAGTTTTCGCAATCACTGACCGATGCTCGTCTGTCAAGCGTTCGTTCAAACTACATATATACTTTGTCGAAAATGAGTGACGAACGGTCAACTGCATCAACCAAAACAAAATAACCAAAACAACTAAACCCAATAACCAAAACAACACAATCCCAAACCCAAACCCAAACCCAAACCCAAACCCAAAACGCATCGAAGGAAATGGAAGGAGAAAGCATTTACCTTCGTCGTCAGACCATGCTTACGAGGACGTTGCCATTTCGCACTGCAACCTCCACGAAAAACACCAACTTGACGAAAATGGAGGGAGACACAGAGAACCAACACTAACGCCGAGAATGCAAAATAAAAACCCAGGAACACCAATCGTTGATTTCCAATGAAACAGGCCAATGGTATTTTTGGAAGCTCACTTAAAACAAACCTGCGTAATTTGAACTCCACATTTTCAAAAAATTAAAAAATTCAAATTCCTCCAATCCAAATGTGACGTGTGACGTTGTCAAAACAATGTTAAAAAATCGTTGTTAAAGTATGTTGGTCCTTTAAAATTATTACATCACTTGTTCCTAAAAAAATTATTCTTAGCAAAAACATAGGATTGAAATAATATCAAAGTGTCTCTCGAAGTTTCCCTTGTAACTTCCTCTTTCAATTATATAATGTCTAATACCTTTAAAACCGCTCCTGTCTACCAGCTAGCTAGGTTTGTCTCACGTCACCACATGACGAACATCGCATACCAAATTCTAGGACTTCCATATATCAAACCAAATTTTCAATATTCTTAAAAAAAAATTACTACTTTTCTTATTTACTGGATAAAAAATACAGATTTTCAAGATTTTTTCTTGAAAGCTATACACATTTTTTTAAGATATAAAATACAGTTATTTTTATATATTTTTAATGGCATAAATATTCAAAAGTTGTAAAAAGAACCGTTTCCTTTAAAAAGAATAAAAACTAGTGATTTCTAATCCAACGGTGAGATTGAATTCACCTGCAACACAGAAAACTTTCTTAACTTCGCTGCTTTGTTCTCTCTCCTTGTGTCAAATCGTGAGTGCAATCTCCAATCAAAGTGGTTTAGTTTCATACGCAGACACACTCCTTTTAAAACAGAGGAATCCAACATGGGAGCTGGAAGTTTCCTGAAGGTTGTTCTGAAAAATTTTGATGTTCTTGCTGGGTAAGTTTTATGTTTTACCCATTTTTCTTTGTCTTACCTACCTCTGTAAAACACACTACTTGGAAATTATTATGTGCCACACGGCTTCACGGTCATCCCTTCGATGACCAAATTAACAATAATTTTCAAGTTCAGTCTGTTTTTTTTTTCTCATAACTGATGGTGATACCTTTCGCTGTTGGGTTTCTCTTGCAGGCCTGTGCTCAGTCTTGCGTATCCTCTGTAAGTAGTATACATAGACATGTTAACAGCTTAGGATTGACTCTATGTTTAGCTCTAAAATTTTCTGTAGTTTGGTTTTCTTATTTTTTTAAAGCTAGTGTTTTATTTTCACCCTTTTATTTATTTTTTTAAAATATTTGAACTTTAGTCTTTATAACAAACATTTGATCTGCGTACAAAGTTTAGTACTTTAAAAAATATAGGACCTAAAACCAATGATTGATCCATGGTCAGTGTTCTCTTTGAATATTCTAGTATTTCAGGAACTAAAACTGATAACCCTTTTTTTTTATATTCTATTTGTATTTATTTTGCTCGCTCTTGTGATTGATCCATTCATGGTCTCTGATTTCTGTGAATAATGTCTCAGATATGCCTCGGTTAGGGCAATTGAAAGCAAGTCCCCCGTTGATGACCAGCAATGGCTCACTTATTGGGTTCTGTATTCCTTGATCACCCTCTTTGAACTTACTTTTGCCAAAGCTCTTGAATGGTAATTTTGCCTTTGCCTTTGAATCGTTGTTTTGGGGGTTTTCTTGTTTACTTAACCTGACATGAGTACTTAATAAATTTGATGAGAAATCTCATATTTTGAGTCCTTATTATCACATGGGCTGTTACTTATTGGATGTTATTGATTTTGAGCAAAGTTATGACAATAGCTATTTAAGAAAGAGATGTGTTCATCACTACTTACTAGTCGTCATCGTAGCTAAGTTTACCAGCAATGCAATTCATACTACACTGTTACCTTTTTTGTGGTGTAAGTGGAAGTGTTGGTTGCAGTCTCCAATCTTATCTAAATATCTACAATTTGTGCTCTGTGACGTGGAATATGGAGATCAAGACACGAATGAAACTGCATTTTGAGTTCGGTTTTGCTTCGAGTGTTCTGTCAATGTATGTTTTTTCAACAACTAAGAGAGGCAAATGTAAGAATGGAAAAAGCAGAAAGTGTTTGTATAATTTCGGAAAACCTCAGGAGTGCTTGGTGTAGTCTACTACATTTAGTTAGATCTGCATTTCTGATGTTTTTACAGCGTTATGGTTATATAATACCTAGAATAAGAATTAGGCTGGGGAAAATACTAACTAGCTGTGATTTGATTGTGTGAATATACTGCAGGATTCCCATTTGGTCATATGCAAAGCTGATCCTTACCAGCTGGTTGGTCATTCCCTACTTCAGTGGTGCAGCCTATGTTTATGAGCACTATGTTAGACCTTTCTTTGTCAGTACTACTGAGAACGTTAACATCTGGTACGTTCCAAGCAAAAAGGATTCTTTGGGGAAGCCAGAGGACATGCTAACTGCGGCAGAGAAGTACATTGAAGAGCATGGAACTGAAGCATTTGAGAATCTGCTTAACAAGGTATTTCCATGTGTAAACTTGGTTATTGGTTTAAGCGTTAATACCACATATTTATGCTATCTTCTGTATTTGGCTAACAATGCCATCATCACTCTGCAGGCTGGTAAAACTAGGAAAAGTAGCAAGCATGCAAATGGAAGCTATTGAATGATGAGAGATGGGTTGCATGTACATGTTGGCTTAACTTTTTTTCCAGTGTGTAACTACATATATCAGATTTAGGCATCTATGTTTTGTCTCTTGACTATAACAGCCATAGTGTGTGTCAAACTGTGGTATATAGAATTGTAGAATATATACATATATATAATGGATGTGCAATACAAATCAGTTTGTTACTTTGTTTCATTTGTGACACTGCTACTCACTACTTTGCCCTTCTTAACAGGAAAGTAGTCAAATAGGTTTTGGTCCAAACTATGTAACATAATGAATAGGTTGTTGTTTATGAGATGGTGTGTGGTACTAAAATGTTGCAATACTTAAGATGAACCCCTTCAAAGGGTGAAGTGTCACTATTACTTTTTCTTATAGTTGCAAGCATTATTTTCAAGTGGAGATAGATGGCAAAAATTTTCCTTCCATCAATTTAAATGATAAACTGATGTTGTTTTGTCTATTGATAATTCCTATTTAAAAATATTAAAATCTGTTTTGGAAATAAAAATGAGAAAAAAATAATAGAAGAAATAGATAATTAAAGATCAAATACAAATATAATAAAAGTACTCTTAAAGTTATACTTTTGTAAAAGCTTATTGTTTTTATCATGTTCTTTTACTTGGTAGGGGAAATTATGTTTTCGCTAGATGTTAAATAACGCTCATACTCCTCTCTAGTTACAAGATAAAAAATATTTATAAAATTTTACTTTTTTGGTGTTACTTGTTAAAAATATAGCGCCTATATCTCAATCAAAATAGGTGAATTGGATTTTAAATCAATTTTCATAATTTTTTTAAAATCGTAGTTCTTGAAATATTAAACAATGGTTTATAAACAATCAAGATAAAATGCAAAATCAAGTAGTTCAACTTTTAAATTGAGCTTACATTGAGTTTTCCTTCAACAATTTAGTTAGACAAAAAATCCACTAAAATTTAAAATCAAGAATAAAAAAAATTCTCTCAATTTATATCCCCACACACTGTAATACAAAACAATAACCAAGAGAAGTTCACACTCACACTTTCTTGCACTTTGCCTACAAAACTAAGGTAACAAATAAAATTAACTATTTAATGAAACTTGAAGGCACCAACAATTGTGCATATCTTACAATTCTTCTTGCTTTCTTGAAACTTTGGAAATTTTTTGAGATTTTTTCACAAAGGTTGATTGAGTTTTCCAAGAATGTTTTTGGACAACTTCTTGTGTGCTTCTCTTCTTAAACTCATTGTTTTGTCAAATGATTGAAATATATTTCGTAAAGAGACAAGTTAAAACATAGGATAGAACATTCTAATACATTTTAATTAATTAGGTAAAAAACCTTAATTGATTAGACTTTTGTTTTAAATGATTAAATTAGTAATTTAATCGATCAAAATACACAATATAACCCTAATGTGTTCTATTATGCTTTAATTGATTTTGTAAGCTTCTTAATCCGTTAATATAATTAGATATGTACATCTAAAGTATTTTCAACATGATTTTAATATAATTCTAAGTATTGTTGTAACAATTTTATTATTTAACAAAGAATATTTGATAATTCATCATAAAAAAGGGTTAAATATGTTTTTATTCTCTAAATTATTAGCCGTTTCTGGTTTTCGTCCCTCTTTTAAAATAAGGTACAATTTGGTCTTCATTCTTTTCAAAATTTTGGTTTTAGTCCTCGAAAACTAACACCGTTAAAAATGTGGTAGTTTTCGAGGTTAGTTTTCGAGGACTAAAACCAAAGTTTCGAGGACTAAAACTAGAGTTTCGAAAAGAATGAGGACCAAATTGTACCTTATTTTGAAAGAGAGACGAAAACCAAAAACGGCCAATAGTTTAAGGACTAAAAACATATTTAACCCTAAAAAAAACACATTACCAACTTTAGGAGAACTCCCCTTTTAACATTTCTAGACAACATTCACCTGTCCTTATATTTTAATAAAGTGCTATTTTATTTTAAAATATCTAGTGGCTAAATTTTAAATGAAAAAGTTATGGAAATTAAAAATTAAATGTTTAAAAGATAGAAATTTTTTATAACCAAATAAATTATTTAATTATTATATATTTTTGAAAAAACATTATTTTAATATAAAATAAATAAATATAAAATATACTATTAAATCGATCGACTTTTTTGTTTTTAATACACATTTAAATATAAACATAAAGGCATACAATTATTATTTTATTGATAGCATAAAAGGCATAAATGTCAACAGTATTCTTTTAGTAACATGTTTTCTTTAACTCACTCTGTTAGAAACTCATTTTAGTTGTCCAACAAGTTTTCATTTGTGATAATAATCATCCAACAAATTTTCACATGGGAGTCAAACATGAATTCCAACCACATTCATTGTCCTTATATTGTGTAAACAATATTTATGAATCCTTAAAAGTTATAAAAAATATTTTTTTTATAATTAAATCAAGTTATTTTTGTTTATAAAACTGTATTTTAAACCTTTAGTTTTCATAATTTTTTATTAAATTTTGATCAATGTGTTATTTTTAAATAAGATAAGAAAAATGGAGAAGGAAGAAAAAAAATATTTAAAACCAGAATCCTTTTCTTAAAATCATAAAAAAGAGATATATGTATTTTGAAATTAGAAGTGTTCTTTATTATGGGCTTGAAGAGGAGCTTGAATCTCTCCCAATTAAAAACAATTTCCATAAAATTCTATTTGGATGAATTTTTAAGAAGGGAGATCCAAAATAAAATGTTAAACTTTACCTAATTCATCTTTTTGACTTTCACATGTAAGCTGATCTGTTGCCCCTTATAACATGAGAGTTGTTCTGTTTTGGTTAATCTTTTGACTAAATATTGTCAACTTTGAAATAAAAATATTATAAATTCTTGTCCAAAATAATAAAAGAAACTAGCCAAATAACTAACATTATCACAATTAAATTATTGGAAAATGTTTACATTAAGATCACATCAAACTTCAGTACCAAACCATTAATTCATTTCTGCATCAAAATTCTAGTAACATTGGATAAAGTCGTCTATGAATTATAATAAACTACAAATTTCAAACAGTATATACATTTCTACTTGGAATTTGAAATGTTATTGGTATTTGATTACAAGTATTAACTTCATAATGGTCAAATTCTTGAAAGTTTAAAAAGCACTCACAGTAACCATTTCAAGGCAAAAACAAAAGAGTTACAATAACCTATAAATTCTCATATACAGTAGATTTCTGTACTTGGGATTTAAAATGCTATTGGTATTTGATTAGTCTTATCATCATCATGATCAATTTCTTCAAAAATTTAAAAAAGCAGCCACGGTAACCATCTCAAGTGGCAAAACAAATATAAGATTTCTTGCATCCTTTTAAAAGTAATAGGAATCCATTTCATTCATAACTATAGATAGTGAAATACATCAAACATATAGAAAATTTCATATACAGCAGAGGCTCCAACAAATAGGAAAGGGTTGAAACACATCCATTTCAAAAAAAGTTCATTGAAGTTCTTTTTTAACTGATATCAAGGACAGTGAGATTAACTTTATTTATTGGAAACATCAACCATAATATTTGATTATCCATCCAGGTTTACAACAAGAAACAAAAGGTCCATAAAACTACAGCTATGTCATTATGGCACTTCATGGCCACGGCATGGAGAAGGATAACTAGTCTTAGTCATCACAGATGGCACTAACGCCTGTTTACCAAGGACCTGGCAAATATCTTGTGCATACCAGCCAGGATCATTTTGTGAGAGTAATCAGGTTTCAGTTTCTGCTTCAACTTCACCTTCAACTTCTTCTTCAACACCATTGATGACTTCATTAAGGTATTCCTGAGCTTCATCTAATGCTGATCCTTTTGCATCAGCCGCATACAGAATCTTCTTAATTGCCAGAGACATCTGCGTAAAAAAATGGTAACGATGGAATTACTTTTGTAACTTCATTGTGCATAAATGCACAATTTACTACCCATTTAGGAATAGATTGTTTGTAAATATATATATATAT